CTCATGCCTGTAATCCCAGCACTTTGGGAAGCCGAGGCAGGCTGAGCACAAAGTCAGGAATTCAAGACCAGCCTGCCCAACAGGGTGAAACCCCATTTCTTTTTTATTTATTACTTTTTTTTTTAAAGACGGGGTTTCACCCTGTTGGTCAGGCTGGTCTTGAACTCCCGACCTCAGGTGATCCACCTGCCTTGGCCTCCGAAGTGCTTGGATTACAGGCGTGAGCCACCAAGCCCAGCCAATGGTGAAACCCCATGTCTACTAAAAATACAAAAATTAGTCAGTCGTGGTGGTGTGTGCCTCTAATTCCAGCTATTCGGGAGGTTGAGGCAGGAGAATCACTTGAACTCAGGATGCAGGGGTTGCATTGAACCAAGATTGTGCCACTGCACTCCAGCCTGGGAGACAGAGCAAGACTCCATCTCAAAAAAAAAAAAATTAGAAATTAAAAACATAACTAGTAAGTAACATTTTGGTGTGCATCCTTTCAGATATTTTTTAGTGTATTTAGTCTTGTTTTAATTAAAAGGCAGCTGCCTTTGTTATTTTAATCTTAATTTATCTATTGAAATCTAATTTGTGTCTTTTGCATTAAACACTGCATTAGGAACTTACCGTCACTTTATTTTATTTTTTTGAGATGAAGTCTTGCACTTGTCCCCTAGGCTGGAGTGCAGTGGTGTAGTCTCAGCTCACTGCAACCTCCACCTCCCAGGTTCAAGCCATTCTCCTGCCTCAGCCTTCCAAAGAGCTGGGATTATAGGCGCCTGCCACCATGCACGCCTAATTTTTGCATTTTTAATAGAGACAAGGTTTCACCGTGTTGGCCAGGATGGTCTTGAAATCCTGACCTCAGGTGATCCACCTGCCTTGGCCTTCTAAAGTGCTGGGATTACAGGTGTGAGCCACCACACTGGCCTTACTGTCACTTTAAATAGAATAGTAACTGTTAGAGAAATGCCTTTTATTATAATTACATGTTTTCTATCCAAAAAAAAGTTATTTTTCAACTTTTTTTTTTTTTTTGAGACGGGGTTTCGCTCTTGTTACCCAGGCTGGAGTGCAATGACGCGATCTTGGCTCACCGCAACCTCCGCCTCCTGGGTTCAGGCAGTTCTCCTGCCTCAGCCTCCTGAGTAGCTGGGATTACAGGCACGCGCCACCATGCCCAGCTGATTTTTTGTATTTTTAGTAGAGACGGGGTTTCACCATGTTGACCAGGATGATCTCGATCTCTTTTTTTTTTTTTTTTTTTTTTTTTTGAGACGGAGTTTCGCTCTTGTTACCCAGGCTGGAGTGCAATGACGCGATCTTGGCTCACTGCAACCTCCGCCTCCTGGGTTCAGGCAATTCTCCTGCCTCAGCCTCCTGAGTAGCTGGGATTACAGGCATGCGCCACCACACCCAGCTAATTTTTTGTATTTTTAGTAGAGATGGGGTTTCACCATGTTGACCAGGATGGTCTCGATCTCTTGACCTCGTGATCCACCCGCCTCAGCCTCCCAAAGTGCTGGGATTACAGGCTTGAGCCACCGCTCCCGGCGGTCTCGATCTCTTGACCTCGTGATCCACCCGCCTCGGCCTCCCAAAGTGCTGGGATTACAGGCTTGAGCCACCGCGCCCAGTCCATATTTTTCAATTTTTAAACAATTTTTAAAATTGTTTTTACCTGCTGCCTTTCAAACTTAAAATTGCAGTAGTATAAACAACAAAGTACAAGTGTTGAGAATGAAATGTTTCCAAACCTATTGAAAATGCATATAAATAGGATGTACTTGAAAGTAGATTATTTAGCTGAGCATGGTGGCTCCCATCTGTAATCCTAACACTTAGGGAGGCAGAGGCAGGAGTGTAACTTGAGCCCAAGAGTTTGAGACCAGCCTGGGCAACATAGCAAGATCCCATTTTCCACAAAAAGGGGAAAAAATTGTAAAAGTAGATTATCTAAAGAAACTCTGGCTTTAGTTTTTAATTTCTAAGGAATTAAGTCTTTAGCACATGCATTATCTAATCTATCCTTCTATTGCAATCAAGGAAACAAAAATGTACCCATTTTGTAGATTAAGGAATTAAGACATATAAAATGGAATGACTTGCTCTAAACTGGGTAGTGTATCCTTTAGGATTAGATTTAGCTATGACAGAAAATCCAGAATAGTAGTCGCTTACAAGGTCAAATTTTATTTCCCATGCAAAAGTCCAAAGGGAAACAGTTCAGGGCTAGTAGGATCAACCTCATAAAATCATCAGATTCCTGTACTGTTGATCTGCCAATCTCAGCAGTCTGTAGACTTGGGATCTCAAGGTAGCTGCACTAGCACCAGCCAACACATTTGTATTTCAGCCAATAGGAAGGAGCAGATTCCTTCCCTTTTAAATGTAGACGACTTTATTGAGATATAATTCACATGCTGTGCAATTCACCCATTTAAAGTGTACAATTCAGGCTAGGCTGATGGCTCATGCCTGTAATCCCAGCACTTTGGGATGCCGAGGTGGATCACCTGAGGGTCAGGAGTTCAAGACCAGCCTGGCCAACATGATGAAAGCCCATTTCTACTAAAAATACAAAAAATTAGCTGGGCATGGTGGCGCATGTCTGTAATCCCAGATATTCGGGAGGCTGAGGCAGGAGAATCACTTGAACCCAGGAGGTGCAAGTTGCAGTGAGCTGAGATTGTGCCATTGCACTCCAGCCTGGGCAACAGAGCAAGAACTCTGTCTCAAAAAAATAAAACATACAATTCAGTGGTGTTTAGCGTATTTGTAGGGCTGTGAACCATTACAATTTAATTTTAGAAAAATTTCATCCATTCTAAAAGAAACCCCATACCCATTAGCAGTCACTCCCTAGCCCAGTTTCAGGCAACTACAAATGTACATTCTGTCACTCTGTATTTGCCTATTCTAGGCATTTGACATAAATGGAATCATACACTATGTAGTCTTTTGTGGCTGGCTTCTTTTACTTAGCATACTGTCATCAAGGTTCATCAGTGTTGTAGCATGAATTGGCCCTTCATTCCTTTTTCCTGCCCAATAGTAGTCCACTGTACGGATATACTGCATATTTACCCGTTCATAACCTGATGGACATTGGATTGTGTCCTCTTCTTGGCATATACCTTACAGAAATGAAAACATGTTCACATAAAATCTTGAACATGAATGTTCATTAGCGGCATTCATATATACATATAGTCATATGTATTCATACACATTCATATATATGAATTTTATAAATGAATATATGAATATATACATGAATGAATTTATGTATATTCACTTATGTCTTCATATATATGAATGCTGCTAATTAACATGTTCAAGACTTTATGTAAACATGTTTTCCTTTCCGTAGGGTATTGCAGGTCATATGGTAATTACACATTTTACTTTGAGAAACTGCCACACTTTTCCAAAGGACTCTCACTAGTTTCCATTCCCACAAGCTGCGTACAGGGGTTCAGATTTCTCCACATCCTCCCCAATACTTGTTTTTGTCTTGTTTTCATTACAGCCACCCTGTGGATATGAACTGGTATCTATCTCACTGTAGTTTCAATATTTATTTCCATGTGCTTACTGTTCATTTGTATATCTTTAGTGAAATATCCAAATTCTCTGCCCATTTTAAAATTGGACTGTCTTAATTGTTGAGTTGTGAAAGCTGACTCCAATACAAATCCCTTTTCTCCCATTCTCTGGGTCTTTATACCCACTTGTTGGAATCATTTACAGCACAAAGGTTTTCATTTTGAAAACTTTTGTAGTTTATCCAGCTTGCGCTTTTGGCATCCTAAGAAGCAGTTGCCTGGCCCAATATGATGAAGAGTTGCTCCTGTTTTTTTTGTTGTTGTTGTTTGGTTGGTTGGTTTTTGTTTTTGTTGTTTGTTTTTTTGAGATGGAGCCTTCTTCCGTCACCCAGGCTGGAGTGCAGTGGTGTGCTTACTGCAACCTCCGCCTCCTGGGTTCAAGTGATTCTCCTGACTCAGCCTCCAGAGTAGCTGGGATTACAGATGTGAGCCACCTCCTGTTTTTTCATAAGAGTTTTATATTTTAGGTCTATGATGCATTTTCAGTTAATGTGTGCCCCTGTTACTGGCGGAAGGCATCTGAGTCACATGGCACCAAAATATGTTAAACTCAAGGGCAAATCTATACAGGTTGCAGCAACATCAATTCTTACCTCCTCAGAAGAAAGAATTCTACTGAGGGGCATAAGGCATAAAGAGAGATTGAGGCAAGTTTTAGAGCAGGAGTAAAAGTTTATTAAAAAGCTCTACAGCAGAAATGAAAGGAAGGAAAGTATACTTGGAAGAGGGCCAAGCCGGTGGCCTGAAAGACAAGTGCATAGTTTGACCTTTTGACCTGGGGTCTTATACATTGCCATAGTTCTTGGGTCTTGCATCCCTTCTCTCCTGATTGTTCCTGTGGGGGCCCTGTCCACATGGGCAGTGGCCTGCCAGCATTTGGGTGGGAAGCATGCAAACTGTGTTTACTGGAGTTGTGCCCATGCTCACCGGAGGCGTTCTTCCCTTACCATTCCAATGTCCTTGCAAGGTCATATGCCAGTTGAACTCCGAAACTGGCCTTGTAGTGTATATGCGTGAGCCCACTTGTCCAACTCCTGAGATCTTATCTAGAAGCTGATCAGCGGTTTCAGGTTTTCTCTATCTACTGGGAGGCTGCCTTTCAATTATTTCAATTATTATTTTAGAGGGACCACCTGATGGTCACTTGATGGTTGCCTGATGTTCCCTGTTGGAAGCGTGGCCCTCTCCTGCCCTGTTTGAGTCTGACTAGCTACCTGTTGTCACCCCTTCCCTTTTAAGGACTTTTCTGGAATATTGCCTGTGCCACCCTGAACTTAGTTACTGGCCATCCCTGTGATCTGTATAGAAGACTAGACAGTGTGTATTTCAGGCGTAGGGTGTCATGCGTAGCCGGTGGCATGCCTGTCCAGCCTGAACAAGCAGGACTCTTGCTTCGTTTTGCAGGGAGCTGCTTCTTGTCCGACGTCACTCCAGGAGTCAGGTTGAGACCTTTAGCGCGCATGGCCGCCGTCTGCGGGCGCTCACGCCCGGCCTGGCGGGCCTTTCCCGCCGCGGATTTTGGCTCTTCGCTGTTGACCTTTGGGGAAGCGAAGAAACAGTGCACCTCCCGATTTCTGCATTTCCCCCTGTTGCCGTCGGCTACTCACTCTGCGCGCTGCGGCCCGCGCCCGGAGCCGCCCCTCCCGAGGGCGGTAACTACGAGGGCAACGGCCAAAGGCGGCACTGCGGTGGCGATGGCGGCGCCCCCTGCAACGGCCGCCGAAGAACCCCCACAGCCGCAGCCGCATGCCCCGGAGCCCGGCCCGGGGAGCACCAAGGGAGGGCGAGAGGTGAGCTGGGTGGCAGGGGTGAGGACGCGGGGCTCCGCGCGGGCCGGGAAGGGGCTGCCCGGGGAGCTCGAGGGCATCACCTCGTAGCCCCTTTTCCAACTGGGGACAGCCTGGCGGGGCTCGGTCCAAACCTGCCGGGTCTGGGGCTGCCCTCGCGGGGTTCCACGACTGGGAGCGGGGAGGCAGGGGATGTGCTGGCGCCCGCAAGAGAGTAGGACAGGCAGGAGAGCCCCAGCCAAGCAAGTAACTTGGGGATTCGTGGACTCTGCTGTCCTGATTCCTGGCTTAGGGGTATTGTCTGCGCCACTGGAGGTCCTTCCGGGGTCCCCGAGCCCAGGGCAGCTTTCGGCCGCTCACGGGGAGGCTGCGTCCTTCCCGACCTCAAGCAGCTGCTGTGGCCTTGGCCTCCCTCCCAGACCCTGGCCTCGCTCAGGCACCAGGCTCCCCTTGGAGGCTCCCCCCGGGAAGTCCCGGCCGTGGGCTCCTACAGGGAGGGCGGAAGGCAGGTGGGAGCTGCGGGGCTCCTTGTCCCTCGCTGATGCGGCCAGGCCATGCTGGCCAGCCGGTCTGTGCAGGACCAGTCGAGGAGTCTGGGGCTTCCTGGGTCTCACTAAATGCGCCCGCTCCATGCTCGTGACCAGGACGTTCTGTGGCCTCCCCTGACCACCTCAGCACCCAGTCTGGTCAGGGCGTCCTGCCAGGCACCTCGGAGCATAGGATTACGTCCCACAAGAAAGAAAGTGAGGTGAGATGAGGAGGCTCTCCGGGGAATCTCACTTCCCTAGAAATTTAGAAATTCAGGGGAGATTAACAGCAACGGAAAAATTCACATTGCCGAGGAAGCCCCGCTATGGAATCCTCATACAATCCTGGGAACGGTGGGATTCCTGGTCACTCCAAGGAGACCAAAGCGCAGAAGGCACGGGCCCTGCTCTGGGTCATGCAGCTAGAGATAGCAGAGGGAATTTGAACCTAAGATTCTCACTGTACAGCTGTGCAGGACTTTTATGACTTTCCGTAAAACTGTCATCCTTAAGACGGCAAGACTGGATAATATTCCTGGCTTCACTTGGAAGTTTTTTCTAAAGGTCTAAAAAGCTGCTAGGCCCGTGTTGGGGATACAAGGGTCTCCATTAGGGGGAGAGGAGGACTATCACGTTGAATTCTGCCTGTTCTTAAAGTTTTCTGGAAGGGGAAATGATGTTCACACACATGTCAGAAAAGAATCATCCTGCCCCCAGTGTGGTTTTGTCCTGTGGGTAGGAAGAGTGTGCGAAGTGTGATAAACCCGTATCTGGGGAGCCCTTCCCTTCACAACAGTCTGCTGGAGTGTCCTGCGAGATGTGGAAATGGGTGAAGCCATGTCGTCTCCACTGCCCGCAGGCCCCAGGCAAAGGATGAGAAAAGGTGCCCAGCTTCTTCCAAAGAAACAGCCCTTTACAGGTCTTCATGGCCACTATTTGCTTCAACTGACATATATTGAGCACCTACTGTATACCAAGCTTTGTTCTAGGTACTGGAAACACCATGATAAATAAAAGGTAGAGTTCATGCTCTCAGAGAGCTTACATTCCTGTAGGGAGAGGCAGGAGCTAAATGAGAATATAGCAGGTAAGTACAACTGAGAGAGGTGAGTGGCTAGGGAATGCCTCTGGGAGGAGGTGACATTTAAGCTGGTGACCAACCAGAATAGGAATCACCTTCCAGGCAGAAGTCATGGGAACTGCAAAGTCCCTGGGGCAGCAACAGATGTGATTATTTTGAGGTACAGGAAGGAGGGAGGCCACTGTGGCTGAAGGAGAGAGGTGAGATGGGTAGGGGGCCGACTAGGTGGGCTCCTTAGTCATGATCAGGACTTGGAGTTCAAACTGTGATGGCATTGACTATATACTATGTGTCTGGGGGGAAAAAACTGCAATGGCAACTCGTTGCAGGGTTTTAATCAGAGAGGAGATGGGATCTCATTTATTTATTTATTTATTTATTTATTTATTTATTTATTTATTTATTTATTTAGAGCCCGAGTCTCTGTTGCCCAGGCTGCAGTGCAGTGGTGCAATATTGGCTCACTGCAATCTCCATCTCCTGGGTTCAAGTGATTCTCTTGCCTCAGCCTCCCGAGTAGCTGGGATTTCAGGCACGTCACCATGCCCACCTAATTTTTGTGTTTTAGTAGAGATGGGGTTTCGCCATGTTGGCCAAGCTGGTCTTGAATGGGGCTCAAGCAATCCACCAACACTAGCCTCCCAAAGTGCTGGGTTTACAGGGGTGAGCCACTGAGCCTGGCTGGGATCCGATTTATGTTATTACAAGAGCACTGGCTGCTGGGTGGCATGGATTGCAGGGAGCAAGGGCAGACACAGAGAAGCCACTTAGGAGGCACTCACTGATAGATGAGAATTGGAAAGAAGAATCAAAGATGCCTCTTAAGTTTGTGGCCTGAGCCACTTAGGGGACCAGCAGAGAGCTGAATTAGACAGTTCCTAATGACCATCCAGAGTTGTACGTTGAACATGCTAAGCTGAGATGCCTGCCAGGCATCCCTGGAGGGCTGTGAGTAGGCAGGTGATGGGGAAATGAGCTACCGCTACCACCTCATTTACTCATGGAAACAACCTTGTGAAATTGGCAGGGATCTTGCATTTGACAGATGAGGAAAACAGGCTTGGAGGGGAGAAAGTGATTTATTCAAGGTCACTTGGAGGGATAGGTGACAACGGCAGGCCCAAGCCCAGGTCTCCTAACCTGCAGTTTACACAGCCGTGCTGATTCAGCAGGAAGCCCAGGGAAAGATGTCTGGCAGAACTTCCCCCTGGAAATGTTTAGAGGTCATGGTTTAGGATCTTTTTCTCTTCTGTCTCACTTCCTCTTAGAATGGTCTGGGGACAAAATGGGGCCTAGAGGTTGCTGGAAAAGCCCTGAAAGCATCACAAGGATGCAGGATGCTCACTGAAGTCATGGGCTATGGGGACCTGTTTGGTGTCTGTTGGGGGAAGAGCTTAGTTCCTGTGTCTCCTCCAGGACAGCAGAGCTGGTCGCCTCTCATTCTGTACGAAGGTGTGCTATGGCATTGGTGGGGTCCCCAACCAGATAGCCTCCAGTGCCACAGCCTTTTACCTGCAGCTCTTCCTGCTTGATATAGCACAGGTAAGTGTGGGCAGTAGCCTGGCCTCTGCTTGAATCTTCCTTGGGGTCTGATCCTTCCACCCACACCTGCACTTCTGCTCCCAACATCCTTGTAGACAGCACTTCTGACTCAAGCTTAACAAAGAGCCAGAAGCTAGTGAGGGCAAGCTCCTCAAGGATGTTTACTATAGCCTGTTTGTGGTGGGAAAATGAGAAACAATGTGGATGCCTGTCTATATAGAAGCAGTTGGCTAAGTAAGCTGTACCATAGCCACATAACAGACCAAACCTGTCTAGCCCACAGGGGTACGGCTTTGAATGTGGCCCAACACAAATTTGTAAACTTTCTTAAAACATTATGAAATTTTTTTGTGATTTTTTTTTTTTAGCTAATTAGCTATCATTAGTGTTAGTGTATATTATGTGTTTATATGTGCCCCAGACAATTCTTTTATTTTTTTTTGAGACAAGTCACCCAGACTGTTGCCCAGGCTGGAGTGCAGTGGTGTGATCTTGTCTCACTGCAACCTCTGCCTCCTGGGTTCAAGTTATTCTCATGCCTTGGCATCCTGAGTAGCTGGGATTACAGGTGTACACCACCACACTTGGCTAATTTTTGTGTGTTTAGTAGAAACAGGTTTTGCCATGGTGGCCTGGCTGGTCTCAAACTACCGATCTCAGATGATCCATCCACCACAGCCTCCCAAAGTGCTGAGATTACAGGTATGGGCCACTGTGCCTGGCCAAAACAATTCTTCCATTGTGGCCCAGAGAAGGCAAAAAATTAGACTAACCTCACTATCACATGGACTGTCATGCAGCAATTCAGAAGAATGATCTGTACCGTTGACTTAGAGTGATTTCCATGATGCTCTGGTGAAAAAAAAAAAGCTAGTTTTAGAGAATAGTATATATAATGATCACATTTTAGCAAAACAAAGACGGGCTCCATATGTGGTGTGTATGGTTATATATATATATTCATTGGTCCATGTTTAAAATATGAGCATGGAGAAAATTCTAGAAGGATATACCAACTCATTAATGTTGGCTACAGAGGGAATAATGGAGAACGGAGGGTAAGTAAAACCAAATTTTTAAAATGAGGCATCCAGCCGAGCGTGTTGACTCACAGCTGTCATCTCAGCACTTTTCGAGGCCAAGGTGGGAGGATCACTTGAGGTCAGGAGTTCGAGACCAGCCTGGCCAATATGGCAAAACCCCATCTCTATTATCTAAATATACAAAAATTAGCTGGGTGTGGTGGCAGGTGCCTGTATTTCTAGCTACTCAGGAGACAGAGGCAGGAGACTCACTTGAACCTGGGAGGTGAAGGTTGTAGTGAGTCAAGATCGCGCCACTGCACTCTTTTTACTTCTTTTTATTTGAGATGGAGTCTTGCTCTGTCGCCCAGGCTGGAGTGTAGTGGCGTGATCTTGGCTCACTGCAACCTCTGCCTCCTGGGTTCAAGCAATTCTCCTGCCTCAGCCTCCTGAGTAGCTGGCACTACAGGCACACGTCACCATGCCGAGCTAATTTTTTGTATTTTTAGTAGAGACGGCTTTTCACCATGTTAGCCAGGATGGTCTTGATCTCCTGACCTCATGATCTGCCCACCTCAGCCTCCCAAAGTGCTGGAATTACAGGCGTAAGCCAATGCACCTGGCTGACCCTGTCTTAATTTTTAAAGAAAAAAATGAGATATCCATGAATGTTTAAGATGACACTCTGATATGATCCCATTTATATAAAGTGATCAATCTCAAGCACACATGAAGAAGCCTATGAAAGGCTGCTCATCAAAACGATTCTGGCAGTTGTCTTGGGATGCTGGGATTTCAGATGAGCTTTGCTTAGTATTTTCCTGTATTGTTTGAATGTTTTTCTAATGAGTGTATTATTTACATAGAAAAACCAGTGAATCCTTTCCATTGTGAAACACAATGTCCACCTCTGTCAGCCCAGAGATACCCTCCTTGCTCTGAGCCAGCCCCAGATGAGGGCTCTGGAATCCTCTCCGCAGTGGCTGACATGAGTGGTAATGGAGGTGTGCTGGGCGGCAGAACTCAGCTCCCTCCTCTGGACTCAGAGCCCTGGGGTTAGTATCATGGGGGAGGCTGAGGAGCCTTGACACTGTGGCTCTGCCCCGCTGATTCTGATTCCCAGTCCTCCCTCCGGGTGGCAAGCAGGCCTGGATGGCCTCTCTGCTGCTGCTGGCCCTTGGCTCTCTATCCCTTCCCTTGTCTGTTTCAGATCCCTGCCGCCCAGGTGTCACTTGTTCTGTTTGGTGGAAAAGTGTCCGGGGCGGCTGCTGACCCTGTGGCTGGGTTCTTCATCAACAGAAGCAGGAGGACGGGGTCTGGACGGCTTATGCCTTGGTGAGCAACCCCTCGATCCTTAGGATCCAGGCACCAGACCCTGGCCTTGAGGTCACTGTCACAGCCCTGTTTCCTAGTGGAAACCCTCTGGGTGGTTAGAAGACAAGACTGGATAATGTCGCAGTGCACTGGGGACTGGTTGTGAGTGATAAGGAGTTCAGAGACATTCTTGGGGACTCTCCCTCTCCAGATGGCACGGGGCTGGATGAAGCCTCCGAGACTCCCACGTCTGGCCTGGGGCTCTGAGTGTGGGCAGGCTGGGCTGGAGGCCACATGAGGCCTCACAGAGGAAGTGCAACTCAGTGTCCCAGTGTCTACACAGGGAGTGGCACCACTGGCACCGAGTGTGCAGCTGGAGTTCCCACGGGGAGTGGCTGCCCACTCCCAATGCCTCCATGAGCCATCGGCCACTTCTCCCCTGCCTGTGGTTCCCACCCAGGGAGCCCCAGCCTAGGGATTCCCAAGGGGCAGAGAAGGGATGAGGTTGCTCCAGGCTGGGCCCTTTGTGTCCCCCTGTCCTGGTCTGGGAACCGCTCCATCTCAGCTTGCTTCCATAGGGTGCTGGGCTGCACCCCCTTCATTGCCCTGGCCTACTTCTTCCTGTGGTTCCTGCCCCCCTTCACCAGCCTGCGAGGCCTCTGGTACATGACCTGCTACTGCCTGTTCCAGGCCCTGGCCACGGTAAGCAGGGCCCCTTCCTGGGTGTGTGCTCTGGTGAAGCCCATGGCTGGCTGTGGCCACTCTGAAGTGTGCTGTGGGGTGGAGCTGCTGCCCTACCCACCCGCCTGTGCCTGGACCATGCTATTGGCTCTCGCTGGCCCTGTGCGGGGCTGGCTGCTATCTCCTGCCCTTAAGCCCCTAGCTCCGACTTCAGGTGGTCAGCTGGGATATGTCAGGCTGGCCCATGGGTACCAAGATGTGACACCCAGGAGAAGGAAGGTTGCCCGCTGTCACCAGGCAAAGCTGGGTGTGGTTCTAAGCTCTGCTGGTGCCCTAGTTCTTCCAGGTGCCCTACACGGCGCTCACCATGCTGCTAACCCCCTGCCCAAGGGAGCGGGACTCAGCCACTGCCTACCGTGAGTGCAGCCCTGGGTTCTGGGGAGGGCACTGCATCTGGGACCCCACGCCCTCTCAGTCACCTTAAGCGGTGCTCTGTCTCTAGGGATGACCGTGGAGATGGCGGGAACACTGATGGGGGCCACCGTCCATGGGCTCATTGTGTCTGGAGCCCACAGACCCCACAGGTGCGAGGCCACTGCGACCCCGGGCCCGGTCACCGTCTCCCCCAATGCAGTAAGTGCACTGGGTGGCCAGACCCCCCAACCCGGTGTCCCCTCTGCAGGTCACCTCCTTCCTCTAGGGTTGGTTCTCCTGTCCACACCTCTTTGCTGTCTTTTAAGGGGCTCACTGTGTCCCCCAACCCCTTCCCTGCTCCTCCAGCTGAGCAGATGGCCCCCACATTTAATGTCCTCTGCTAAACCTGCCTCCTCCTGAGTTCCTTCTAGACATAAAACAGAACAACAGACACTGGGCTGGCCACCTGGTGCAGAGGAGCCCAGCCGCAGAGGAGGGGCAAGGGTGGGGAAAGCCCCAGGCCAGGCTGGGAGAGGGGCAGCAGAGGGATCTGGTGTCCTCGCACAGCCCTGGGTAAAGCCCCTCCTATGACCTGTGTCCCCTCCCCAGCCCTGACCAGGTGAGCCCCCAACCCCCAGCGTGAAGTGGTGAAATGAGAGGGGAAGCCCCCTTCCTTCTCTTTCACAGCAGGTCCCTTCAGCATTGAGCAGATGCACCTCCATTTTATCCACCACTTTTTCCTTCTCTTTTTCTATTTCTCCCTCTTTCCTTAAGTAAATGACGTTATTATCGCCAGCACTGTCTTCTTTCTCCTGTCCTTTCTCAACCCTCCAACCTATGACTGAATCGTGCCCAGTTTTTAGGCCAAAAGCCTTCTGGGATACATCCAGTCTCCCTGCACCCCACTGCTATGCCCTAGCCCGTGCCACCACCTCCCTCCCCACCCCAGAACTGCTGCCTCCACCTCCTGTGCGGCATCCCTCCCTCCAGCCACCTCCCCTATATGGTCAGGTGCCCTTTGAAAGGAGTTTGAGCATGGGTGGCCCTCACCTTCAGGACGGGGCGCAGGCCGCCCTCTGCAGCCTTCGTGTAGACCTGCCCTGTGTGTGCCCTGTGCCCTGCTGTGTTGGCCTTTTGTGTGTGTATGTGTGTTTTTTTGTTTTTTTTTTTTTCAGACAGAATCTGGCTCTGTCGCCCAGGCTGGAGTACAGTGGCGCACCTGGCCTGTGCTTGTTTTTAACATTTCAGATTTACACAAAGGCAGAAAGCCACAGATCTTAGTGTGGTCCCTGGACGAGCAGCATCAGCCGCACCTGGGACCTTGTTAGAACGGCAGATCTCAGGCCTGACCTCAGTCCTCTGCTTCACCAGTTCTAGGGACCAGTCTAACATCTCCATGTTAACAAGCCCTCTGGGGGATTCCAGCCCCACCAATGTCTCAGCATCAATAGTATGAGAAGAATACCAGTAATATGTGTGGCCCACCACCCATTTAAGAAAACATTACCGCCAGGCGCGGTGGCTCACGCCTGCAATCCAGCATTTTGGGAGGTCAAGGCAGGCAGATCATTTGAGGTCAGAAGTTTGAGACCAACCTGGCCAACATGGTGAAACCCCATCTCTACTAAAAATACAAAAATTAGCTGGGCATGGTGGTAGGCACCTGTAATCCCAGCTACTGGGGAGGCTGAGGCAGGAGAATCACTTGAACCCAAGAGGCCAAGGTTGCAGTGAGCTGGGATCATGCCATTGCACTCCAGCCTGGGCAACGCAGTGAGACTCAGTCAGCTACTTGGCTTGCCTATGTACTCTGCAAAGTGAAAATGCAGGGCCTTGGGAAGTCAATCTCCCCTGCAATCCCCTGGCTGGGCCTACTGCCTCAGCCAGGGGATTGCAGCCTCCAGTGCTGGCACCCTCTAGGCGTCCACCAGACACCTGGATTGGGATAGGTGAAAGGCCCCCACTCTCCAAATCTCCATGTTGCTGCTGGCCAAGGGCCAGAAGGCTGCATCCTAGACTGACTCTCCCTGTACTCACACCTGGGCCTCCACTTGGGCCTCCCATGCCTCTCTCCAACGCCACATGTTTGGTGGCAACGGCCTAGGTTGGGGAAGGGAAGGTATCAAGGAGTGGGAAGCAGGAGGCTAAGAACCCATTCCTGGGGGCAGAGCCTCATGTGTGCAGAGACTGGAAGCTCTTGGTGGCTCACAACCCACTGTCCCCTCAAATTTCACTTACAAAATTCAAATCCATGATAAAATTATTAAGAATCTCAAGATGGCAACAGCAAAACATTGAACCCCAGAGGCAGTGCCCTTCAGAGCAAGAGGCCCAGGGCAGCTGCACAGGGTGAGTGCCCTGCCCCGCCCTGCACCCTCTCTCTTCTCCCTCCCCAGAGGCAGCCTCTGTCCTGAACTGGCTGTGATTCTCCTGCATATCTTTTTTTTTTTTTTTTTTTGTGGGGAGGGGAACGGATTTTCCCTCTGTCACCCAGGCTGGAGTGCAGTGGCACAATTTCAGCTCACTGCAACCTCTGCCTCCCAGTTTCAAGCAATTCTCCTGTCTCAGCCTCCCAAGTAGCTGGGATTACAGGTGGCTGCCACCATGCCTGGCTAAATTTTTGTATTTTTAGTAGGGATGGGATTTCACTATATTGGCCAGGCAGGTCTCAGACTCCTAAACTCAGGTGATCCACCCGCCTTGGCCTCCCAAAGTGCTGGGATGGCAGGCGTGAGCCACCTATGTTAATCTGAGTCAGCATACATCTCACTGTGTTATAACTGCCTGCTTCTGGATCTGTCTTCCTCCCCACCCTCTGAGCCCTGTGGATGGACAGGGGTCACTTACTCATCATTGGAGCCTCAGGGGCTAGCATGCAGAAGGCAGCAGCAATCGATGTTTGCTTTATAGAATGCAGGAGGGAGCACTCTGGCCCCTGGGGTGCCAGTGCCCTCTTTGCCACGAAGGAAACAGGTTCAGCAGAGGGGGTGTGTGGAAGGACCAGCCCAGGCCCAGAGAGCGTGCTGTCTTGTGGGATGATTGGGAGGTGGGGGTCCAGCATCCTGGGCTTGGGCTGTGCCTCCCTCTGCTCCTGTTGGGAGGCAGTGCTGCCCCGCCCCTTGGGTGTCGCCACCTCCTGGGGTTGAAGACTTCGCTTACCCTAGTCCTGTCTTGTCCCACAGGCCCATCTCTACTGTATTGCAGCTGCTGTGGTTGCAGCAACTTACCCCGTGTGCAGCAGTTTACTGTGCCTAGGGGTGAAGGAGCGGCCAGGTATGGGGATGGGGAGGAGGGAAGCAGAAGCTGGGGGCGGGGCTCTACTCAGGGGTGGGGCTCTATTTGGGGGCGGGTTTTGGTTTTGGTCTCTGTGAAGCCAAGGTGCCACCCTCCTGCGTTGCAGACCCCTCTGCTCCAGCCTCAGGCCCAGGCTTGAGCTTCCTGGCTGGGCTGGGTCTCACTACCCGGCATCCCCCCTACCTGAAGCTGGTGGTCTCCTTCCTGTTCATCTCTGCTGCTGTTCAGGTACCTCTGGCCAGTGGCCCCCCTGCTGGCTTGGCACTGGCCATGCTGACCTTGCATAGGTTCAGGGTGCAGTCTCAGCTTGAGTTTTATAGGGAGAAACCTGCAGCTGGCACATGGCTCAGAGGGGCTGGTGCTGGGAGGGAGATCCCAGGAGGGCTTGTGAGATTGGAGGGCCAGGGCCTAGGCACTAGGAGCTGACGGTGTCTGGTCAGTTTCCTCTCATGTTACCTGAGACATAGTCAAGTCCACCTGATCACAGCTGTGCAGGTGATGAAGGTGGCCTAGGGGTGGTGCTGATATCTGTGTTGGGGACTGGCACCCTTTGTGGGGGAAGGGACTGCAGCAAGCCAAGGTCCCAGCGGACAGGCCAGACTTGAGACCTGGTCCTCGCCCTTGACTTCTGAGCTCCTGCCATGCCCACTTCCTGTTCATCTCCTCAGGTGGAGCAGAGCTACCTGGTCCTGTTCTGTACACATGCCTCCCAGCTACACGACCACGTCCAGGGCCTGGTGCTAACTGTCCTGGTGAGGGGACCTGGGGTGGTGGAGGCTGGGTCACTTGGGGGCCTGAGCTGGGGACATGTGTTGTCCTCAATGTGATACGTGTGCCCACAGTTCTGGTCATCAACATTTTGGACTTTGCTTTGGTCTTGATCACCTGCATTCCAGCAGAGGGTAGAATTGGGACCAGGATTATAACATTCATAGCCACTGGTCTGAAGCAGGGGCAAGGCCGAGGTCAGGCGTCCCACCTAAAAGCCAAAGCCCCAAGGTCCCCGGTGAAGGCGCCGGCAGCACAGCCCTGGCGTGACAACGCTGTCTGCTCACAGGTCTCAGCCGTGCTGAGCACCCCGCTATGGGAGTGGGTTCTCCAGCACTTTGGGAAGATGACGTCAGCCTTCGGGATCTTTGTGAGTGAGGCAGGAATCAAGGATTAGGGTTGGTGGGAGGAGAGAGGTGGGGAGGTGACCGTGGTGCCTGAGCCTCCTGGGGTCAGCAGGAGTGGATTTGTGTTCCCTTGAGTCTTCAGGGCCTAGCACCAGGCGAGACATGGGGGTCATCAGTCTAGAGCCGTGTGTGAAAGAACAGGCGGGACAGCTGGTGTGTGTGTCTCCCCAGGTGATGGTGCCCTTTGTGATCTTGCTGGCTGCTGTGCCCGCAGCACCTGTGGCTTATGTCGTGGCCTTTGTATCTGGCGTGAGCATCGCTGTGTCCTTGCTGCTACCCTGGTAGGCTGGGTGTGGGGGCCTCACGTGTGTCCATAGAAGGTGTCTGTCTCTTCCTTCACGTCAGCCTGCTGTCCCAGGCCCCCTGCACCCAGCTGGGCAGGAGATGGAGCCCTCCTGAGAGGGCAGCAGGCAGTAGGAATGGCGGGGGTTCAGCGGGAGTACAAGCACACAGGCCATCTGCTCCTCCGGCAGCAAGTCTGGTGCTGGGCACGGGAACTCAGGGAGGAATCCGCCTTGGCCTCTGCCCCAGAGAACTCACAGGCTGCCGGTGGTCAAGGGGCTAAGAGGGCTAATTCCATGTCCCCACCGCAGGTCCATGCTGCCAGACATGGTGGATGACTTTCAGCTGCGGCACCACTACGGGCCAGGCCTGGAGACCATCTTCTACTCCTCCTATGTCTTCTTTACCAAGCTGTCTGGCGCGTGTGCCTTGGGCATCTCCACCCTCAGTCTGCAGTGAGTCCCAGGGTTTAGGATAGAGCAGAGGCAGCAAGGACCACTGGGCGGCAAGAGGGCAAAGCCCCCATCCTCCCGAGCTCGGAGCACCCGCGTGTCTGAGGCCTGAGCTCTGCTCTTTGGAGACTATGGGGAACGACTTCTCCAGGTTTCTCTGTGCACAGGACTGCAAGGGCCAGCTCTCCACATTCTCAGTTCCCTCCAGACTCTCCCAGGTCAGCCCGTCCCCTCGACACCCCTCTCCTGATCTGGCCAGGAAATGAAGTCCAAGTTTCAGGAGGGGGTGTCCGGGGTCCCTCCACCCAGGGTGCCAGGCTCGGCAAGGTCCTGCCCTAATGGCTGGGTGATTTTCTCCAGGTTCTCGGGGTACCAGGCAGGGGCCTGCAAGCAGGCGGAGGAGGTGGTGGTTACCCTCAAGGTCCTCATCGGCGCCGTGCCCACCTGCATGATCCTCGCCGGGCTCTGCATCCTCATGGTTGGCTCCACTGCAAAGACGCCCAGCCAGGATGCCTCCCGCCGGCTGAGCCTTCGGAGGTGGGCCCCACTCGCCCCCTGCACCCGGGGAAGCACAGTGTGCGCTGCCGGGGGAGTGAATAACACCAGCCTGCAGATGCCCCTGCTGTGTCACACAGCCCGACGGTCCTGCCTCTGGGACACTCTCTCCTTAGCTCAGGGTTACCCTTTTCTCCCGGATTTTCTTCTACCCTGGCCCCGCTTCTCAAACTTCTTCCTTTGATCACATGGTGGACTGTGGTATGTGAGGGCTCCCTCCTTGACCTCATATTGGTTTTGCTGTCCAAAGCCCCCTAGGTACGTTATCTGCTAGCCTGACCCAACTCAGGCACCCCTTGTGCCCAGGGACTCCCAGAGCTGCCCTCCCCCCTCCACCCTGGGCTTCCCCCAAGTTCCAATGCCGCCTGTCGCCGGTGTGTGGACGTTCCCACGAGCATGGCACTCAGTCTCAACGAGCCCTGAACAGAACTCATCTTGTCCCCCAGCTGGCTCTTCCTTCTGTGTCCCTGTCATGGGGAATGGCACTGTTGTTCCCTCTCAGGTGGCAGCCTAGGAGTCGTTTGCCCTCCCTCCCACGGGCAGTGCTGAGCAGCTCTCTGACCTGGTCCTTCCCTACCGGAGTACCAACCCCACTGATAGGGAGGATCTACTCACTGCCTGACCTTCCGAGGAGGCTATGGGGACCTTGAAGCCTGGAGCTGTATTTTATTCCTTTTGTGCCCCGAGAGCCCAGCACAGAGCCCGAGGCCAAGTCGGCACTCAGAAATCGCCGCTGCAGCCTCACCGTGTCTGGTCCAGCAGACATTCATGACCATGCAGTGTTCACACACGGAAGGTCCACGAGCAGGCACACATCACGCAGGCCCACACAGGACAGGCAGTGTGGGTGGGTTTGTCATCAGCTGCTCCCTGCTCAGGGTGACGGCCTTGGGCTCTGCAGCAGAGAGATACTGAGGGCACACTTCCCAGTCGGGGAAGGCCAGGCGATGGGGAACTGCTCGGTGGCACTTGGAGAAATAGGGCTGTAGCTTAATTGCAGGCCCTGGGAGGGGAGGAGCTGAAGAGGAGTTGCTGGGGAGACAAGGAGCAGCCACCAAACCTCCCGCGGGGTTCTGCGGCAGGACAGAGGCCCCACAGCACTTCCATCCTTCTCCTTGGCTTCCCCAGGAGGACCAGCTACAGCCTGGCCTAAAGCTTGGGAGGGCCACCGTGAATGGATACAGGAGCCAGCATCCTCGGGGCCTGACGTCGCCCTCCTCAGCCCTTCAGCAACCGGCCTGGCCGTTCAGCATGCGGCCTTTTTCTCTGGAATGTGGAGTCTTCAACGATGTGTTCTGAAGGGACCGGCCTGTGCTCCAGTACCCCCACTTGGCATTTCTTGTCTGTTGCTATCAGGCTATCTCAGATATAGGCCTGTGCCCCTGACTAGCCCCGCAGCACCTGTCTCTGGAAAAAGGAAGCCCCTGCCCAACCTGGCTTGTGGACCGTGTGGGAGCCCCAGGCCCAGCAACCTGCGTGGATGGCAGAGCTCCCCAACAGGACACACACAAGGACTCTTGTTTGTCCCAAGGCTCCAGTAGACATCTGCTGAGGACACAGAGAGGTGAGAGACACCATGTGAAAGGGCAGAGTGGGGACATGCCAGAGATGTACGATTAGGGAGACACAGACAGACCCAGGGAGGCCAGCGGGCCCCAGGGAGACCGAGACAGCCGTGGCGATGGCAACTGAACAGGACCGGTCGCTGAGGTGCTCGCTCCTCAAGCCTCTTCGCGTTCCCGCCCATTAATGCGACTCTTTCTATCAGGGTCAGAAATGGCTATCGAGCCAGCAAAGATCCATCATTTTTACAAATAAAAGCTATTTGTGTAGAAAGATTGTTCTGAAATTTTATCTTTAAGAGCATAGGAACTACAGTTTTTTAGAGGCCACATCTTTGGGGAAGAAATATCCACTGAGGTTTATTTTTTTCAAAAACAAATTCAAGGCTTGATCTGCTATTGAGTCTGTGCAATGTGACCGTGCACTGCCCTCTCCTATCTGGAATCCCCAGAGAAGGGAAAGGGGAGAAAGCCTGATGCCCTTGCACCTGGCTGCTCCCCCAGCCACACATCCCTGACTTGCATGTCCTTAGACCAGCGACACCATGTGGGAGGGGGCAGGTTCCTCCTTCCCTTTAGAGGAGATGCAAAGTTGAGGCTCGAGAGTGGCTCGAAGAGCAGGCCATCGAGGTAGCTCATGGGGGCTGGGGGAAGGGCTGGGGAACTTGTGGGGGCCCTGACGCTCCAACTCCTGCCTGGAGAAGTCTGGCACCTAAACAGGGGACCCGGAGGTGCAGACTTGCCCCTACATTTCTCCCCAGCCCCCAGCCTTTCCTCCTTCACGGGGTCAGCTCTCCTGAGCCCATGGCCCACAACTAGGCCCCCCTCCACTCTTGAGATCTTCAGCTGTCTCTTGGGAGCAATCCCCCTGAGGCCCAGAACTCAGGTTTGTCCTTAGATATGACACAGTCCTCAGAGCTGAAAGCATCTCTCTGCCTCCACAAACACTGTGGCAGGAGAAGGAACCCGACCTCGCCTGAAGCATGTGGGGTCTGGCCTGGTCTTTCTGATGCCTCAACTCTCTGGCCCTTATGACACTGGCAGGAGTGTCTGGTTCCTGAGGTCACAAGGCACCAGAGAAAGAGCTGGGCTCAGTTTCTCTGCATTGCCCCTTCTGACAGGAAGCTCTACCTCCCCCTACTCTGCATGGATATGGACACACACATGCACACACACAAGCAAGCACACATGCATGCTACTGAAAACAGGAGAGAACAGTTTCGTAATACTGGGATATCATGGGTCATGTGGAGACAGTACCCAGTAAGACAGAAGGCAATGTAGTTTCCACCATGTTATCGTTTTATGTCATACTTGTATTTTTGGTAGAGATGGGATTTCACTATATTGGCCAGGCTAATCTGGAACTGATCTGACCTTAGGTGATCCGCCTTCCTCAGCCTCCCAAAATGCTGGGATTACAGGCATGAGCCACTGCGCCTGGCCTATTTACTGCTACAGATCCTTAGTGCCCAGAAGTAAGTGTTCAATATGAATATCTGCTGAATGAATGAGCAAATGTTCCTATTCCCTTCATCCTAAAACAAACACCACCACCTTTTACTTGTTCTAGAGTGGCTCGAAGGGCAGGTTGCTTTCTCCTCTCCAAAAATCTGCTCTACTGTTCTCCTCTCACCCCTCCCATTCTTGTCTCCTTTTCCTCACCTGCTATTCACTCCTTAACCAGTTAAACCTGGCCTTGGCCTCCAACACTGAGGAGACAGTGCAGCCTGAGAGGGTGACCCCTAGTATCAAAGGACAGCAGATAAGAATCTGTATGTTGCTTCCCTCTTTTACCATGCATGATTGGTTGACTTACTCAACAAATCTGAGCCTCCATTTTTTTTTGAGATGGAGACTTGCACCATCTTTTAGGTTGGAGTGCAGTGGCACAATCTTGGCTTACTGCAACCTCCCCCTCCCAGGTTCAAGTGATTCTCCTGCCTCAACGTCTAGAGTAGCTGGGATTACAGGCACACAGCACCACACCTGACTAGTTTTTTGTACTTTTAGTAGAGACAGGGTTTCACCATGTTGGCCAGGCTGGTCTTGAACACCTGACCTCAGGTGATCTGCCCATCTTGGCCTCCCAAAGTGCTAGGATTACAGGCGTGAGCCACTGTGCCCAGCCAGTTTCTTCTTTTGAACAAATGTGTACACTATTACATAACCTCAGGATGGCTATGAGATAAGACTTGACCAAGTACCAGACCAAGGAAATCCTCAGTTAACAGTCAATTAATGCTGACCACTCCTTTTCAAAACTCTATCTCGGGCCAGGCGCAGTGGCTCACCCCTGTAATCCAAGCACTTTGGGAGGCCAAGGTGGGTGGATCATATGAGGTCAGAAGTTTGAGACCAGTCTGGCCAATATGGTAAAACGCTATATCTCTACCAAAAATACAAAAATTAGTTGGGCATAATGGTGGGCACCTGTCATCCCTGCTATTCGGGAGGCTGAGGCAGGAGAATCACTTAAACCAGGAAGGCAGAGGTTATAGTGAGCTGAGATTGCACCACTGCACTCCAGCCTGGGCAATGGAGCCAGACCCTGTCTCAAAAAAAAAAAAAAGAAAAAGAAAGAAAACAAAAAAACCTCTGTCTTCCCCTGGACTGCATGACACCGCCCTCCTGGTTCTTCTGTGCCATCTCTGACCATTCATTTTGTCTTTTCCTTTGCCTCTTTCTCCTTTGATGTTTCTTAGCCATCATGGGCTTCCCAGGGCCACGTTATCCCACCCACTATCACCACCTATCCACTACTGTAGACGCCTGTTAACCCAGAGTTCTCTGCAGAGATCCAGAGTCCCAGATCCAGCTACCTAGCTGAGTGTTCTTCAGGCAGTTAAAACATCATACATCCAAAATGGAACTCGTCACCTCTCCACACTTGTTCTGCCTCCTGCATTTTCAATAAATTACTTCAGTGTTAATGAGCAAAACAGCTTGCTGCCCGATGCACAGAGAAGCCATTACTATGGCATCAGATCTTTGAGAGCAGAAAAACCTTATTACAAATCAACCAACAAGCAGGGTGCAGTGGCTTACACCTGTAATCCCAACACTTTGGGAGGCCGAGGCGGGCAAATCATGAGGTCAGGAGTTCGAGACCAGCCTGACCAACATGTTGAAACATCATCTCTACTAAAATACAAAAATTAGCCAGGCATAGTGGCTCATGCCTGTAATCCCAGCTACTCAGGAGGCTGAGGCAGGAGAAGCACTTGAACCTGGGAGGCAGAGGTTGCAGTGAGCTGAGATCCTGCCACTGCACTCTGGCCTGGGCAACAGGGTGAGACGCCATCTCAAATAAAAAACAAACAAATCAACCAACAAGGAGATGGAAGTCCAGTTCAAATCTGTTCTTCCTGTGCTGGTGTTAAGGCGGTCCTTTTATGATACAAGGTTTAGGGTGGGTTCTGGAATTAGCAGGTGACTGGTGGAAGGAAAGGGGAGCTCTGAAACATCTCCGGGCATGCACACTTGTCTCTTCATGGGTCACATGTGCAAACTTCAGGGGAAGTTAGTATGAAACGTGGTGGAAATTCGGGCTGTGACATCAGTAAGGGTGTTCTATGCACACTCTAATCAGCCAACTGATTTCAGCCAGTTTTGTTATCTTACAAGTGGAGAAAGTTTCAGCAAGCTGTTTCTTTTTTGAGATAGGGTTTCACTCTGTCACCCAGGCTGGAATGCAGTGGCATGATCTGTTCACTGTAACCTCTGCCTCCCAGTTTCAAGCAATTCTCCTACCTCTGTTGCCCAAGTAGCTGGGATTACAGGCATGCGCCACCATGCCCAGCTAATTTTTTTTGTTTTGAGACGGCATTTCACTCTGTTGCCCAGGCCAGAGTCCAGTGGCGTGATCTCGGCTCACAGCAACTTCTGCCTCCCAAGTTCAAGCGACTCTCCTGCCTCAGCCTCCTGAGTAGCTAGGATTGCAGGAGCATGCCACCACACCCAACTATTTTTTGTATTTTTAGTAGAGACAGGGTTTCAACCATGTTGGTCAGGCTGGTCTCGAATGCCTGTCCTCATGATCTGCCCACCTTGCCCTCCCAAAGTGCTGGGATTACAGGTGTGAGCCACTGCGCCCGGCCCCCAGATAATGTTTGTGCTTTTAGTAGAGATGGGGTTTCACACAATGTCAGCCAGGCTGGTCTCAAACTCCTGACTTCAAGTGGTCTTTCCACCTTGGCCTCCCAAAATGCTGGCATTACACGTGTGAGCCACTCTGTCCCGCTGTTTCGTTTTGTATCTGCCATCCTATATGCTCAAGAATTATTTTGAAGGCTAGGTGCAGTGGCTCACGCCAGTGATCTCTGCACTTTGGGAGGCTGAGGCGGGCGGATCACCTGCGGTCAGGAGTTCAAGACCATTCTGGCCAACACGGTGAAATCCCACCTCTACTAAAAATACAAAAATTAGCCGGGCATGGTGGTGTGCACCTGTAATCCCAGCTACTCTGGAGGCTGAGGCAGGAGAATCGCTTGAACCCAGGAGGTGGAGGTTGCAATGAGCTGACATTGCGCTATTGTACTGCAGCCTGGGCAACAGAGTGAGAGAGTTCATCTCAAAAAAAAGAAAAAGAGGCCGGGCGCGGTGGCTCACGCCTGTAATCCCAGCACTTTGGGAGGCCGAGGCGGGTGGATCACGAGGTCGAGAGATCGAGACCATCCTGGTCAACATGGTGAAACCCCGTCTCTACTAAAATAACAAAAAAATTAGCTGGGCATGGTGGCTCATGCCTGTAATCCCAGCTACTCAGGAGGCTGAGGCAGGAGAATTGCCTGAACCCAGGAGGCGGAGGTTGCGGTGAGCCGAGATTGAGCCATTGCACTCCAGCCTGGGTAACAAGAGCGAAACTCCGTCTCAAAAAAAAAAAAAAAAAAAAGGAAAGAAAAAAAAAAAGAATTCCTGCTGGTCGCTATTTCTTTAATCCTCTGGGGTGCAATTTCATCATTATCTATCCAGTTGCCCAAAACCAAAGACTTAGTATCTTCTTAGGTTCCTTTCTGCTTGATTAGCTCTAACAGACCCCACTGTCTCATCCCCGGTATGTACTGAGTGTGGATTGAGCAAAGGAAGACAAGGGTAGTCTTCAGCCATAGCACCCTGAACGTGCCTGTCTCGTCTGATCTTGGAAGCTAAGCAGGGTTGGGCCTGGTTAGTACTTGGATGGGAGGAAAACAAGGGTTATACATTATAGATTATCAAATGGTGAAAGTTACTT